ATGCACAAGACCCTCGGTTCAATCCCCAGTAACACCAAAAAAAAAAAAAGACTATTCTTTATTGGGGCTGGGGATGTAGCTCAAGCGGTAGCAGGCTTGCCTGGCATGCATGCGGACTGGGTTCGATCCTCAGCACCACACCCAAAAAACAAAGATGTTGTGTCTGCCGAAAACTAAAAAATAAATATTAAAAAAATAAAAATAAAATAAATAAATGTGCTTGGCTGGGCAGAAGGTAACTCTCCAATCATGGTCCACAGAGGAGAAAATCCTACAGGGGAAGCTTGATGGTCAAGTTTGCAACCAATGCTTTGGTGGGTCTGTGCTGCCTCCTTCTGGGAACAGTTGGTATGACAGCCAAAACAGGTCAAGACTTTCCGCAATGAGTGAAATCAGGCAGGGGTGACTTTTCATTTTGTTACACCTGATGGAGGGATTGTGCAATTGCTGGGGACACTCAAAGCTCAGGTGACTAGCAGATTTCCCTGAGAGTCACCTCCCTTCTTCCCTTCACTATTATTCTGTAAGTGCCTCTACTTAAAAAAATTAAAAGATAACAGTGCTAATGTATCTTTCCAGAGATACTTTGGGGACATACAAGTCACGTGTGTGTTGGGGGGGGGTGTTGACAGAAATAGTAGCACACACTTCACACCATGCAGCACCTTGCTATTTTTACTTACTGTATTGTACCTGCCTGTACATAGTCCTCCATCACAGGAATCTGTCATAACTTATTTTACTATTCCCCTGCTGGTAGAAACAGTGCTGCCTGCAGGAAACATTTTGGTGTATATATATATATTTGTTTGCACTTATGTGTATATCTGACTGGGAGCAGTGGTGCCTGCTTGTAATCTCAGAGGTTTGGGAGGCTTAGGCAGGAGGATCACAAGTTCAAAACCAGCCTCAGCAACACAGCAAGACCCTGTCTCTAAATAAAATATAAAAAGGGCTGGGGATGTGGCTCAGTGATTAAGTGCCCCTGGGTTCAATCCCCAGTTTA